AATTGTTTAAGTTAGAAATTACGTATATATTTCATTATTTAGTTTGGGTTGCCATTTGTTGGGCAAACATTAGGATATATCATGCTTTAGTTTGGGTTGCCATTTGTTGGGCAAGCAACCGTATTGTTTACGTATATATCATGYTTTAGTTTGGGTTGCCAATTGTTGGGCAAACGTTAGGATTGTTTTGGATATAACTTTCGTATCTAATCACTATTTTTGCCTGGAAATGTCCTATTTACAGCCGTTATGCTGTCAAAATTGACTTGCAATCTTTTTTAAACCATATATAGGATGAGTATTCAATGGGTCTTACCCAAAGATACGACAAGGATCCCTCTACCTACCCCTTAGTTGATAAAGAGCTGTGGGAGCAAGCGGTTGGGGGAAGCAAAAAAGGTCGTTTATTTGGGTTTGGGTACAACCAAGATCCCAATTGTGTCTTGACCGGCAACTACACGGAAGCTGCTTCATCATCTTYGGAACAACGGGTATGTGTTTTTTCTTTTGATGATGTTTATCGATCTAGTTTATAATTCATATTAAATTTAAATATTCTAACGTTTTATTTATTTTTATAGAAAATTGTAAACTTAGAGGCCAAAGTTATGGATTTACAAGAAGAAAATGAGCGTCGACGGACGGTAGAGGAGCAACTTCTGAAACAAATGCAGGATATGACTGTTTTGGTTAACGAACTCCGTCAATCACAATTCCTACTGCCATCTAATTGAATATTGTTTGTTTATTTGGAACAATCTAGTTTGTTTGTAACATTGTGTGATACTTTAAATTGTATGTTTTGTAACAATTGTTTATTTTAATCAATGTATGATATTTAGTTGCATTTTAGTTTTATCCATATTTTTACAGATTTACAGGATTTAAATATTTACTGAAAAAAAAATAAAAAAATATATATATATATATTACCGGCGGATTTGGCCGCCGGAAAATTTTTAAAAATTCTTTTTGAAAATTTTTATTTAAATTTAAAAAAAAAAAAATATTACCGGCGGATTTCCGGCGGAATTGGCCGCCGGTAAATTTTTAATTTTTTTTTTAAAATTTTTATTTAAATTTAAAAAAAAAGAAAAAAAAATATTACCGGCGGATTTGGCCGCCGGTAAATTTTTAAATTTTTATTTTGGAAATCTTATTTAATTAAGTTTTTCAGGCGAGACAAAACTCCGGCGGATTTCCGGCGGAAAAATCCGCCGGAAAAGTTTTAAATTTTTTTAATTAAGGTAAACCAAGTTTCTTAATTTTTCCGGCGAAAGATTTCCGGCGGCCGTAGTCCGCCGGAAAAGTGAAAAATCCGCCGGAAAACTCGACGGAAAAAAAATCAGCGGCGCCCTTTTTTCCGGCGGACAAATCCGCCGGAAAAGAGGGTAATTTTGGTAGTGGAAGGAATCCGGATAAAAAACCGGATGCTCTAATAAGCAATGTAGTGAGGATGTAATGACCAAATCGGATGGCCTTGTGAGCGGTTTAATAAAACTCCGGACAAGACTACTTTCGAGGAATGCGATCAAGACAAACTCCGGCTAACTTGTTGTGTTTTTAACTAAGTCCTAAACCGTGTAAACAAGTAACCGAGGAAGATCTAATTCGGCTAACAAAGTGAACGAGGTAAACATAAATCGAACAAGCTTTATGCGATTTAGTCCTAATACGGTCAATCTTAGTCTAAAAGCTTGAACGATTTCGAGGAATCCGGTCACCTAGATGTGATATTGGCTAAGTTCTAAATCGGGTAAGCTTCATGCGATTTACTCCCTTATCCGCTCAAACCTTGTAAGATGTACTTTCTTATCCGCTCAAACCTTGTGAGATGTACTCCCTTATCCGCTCAAACCTTGTCAGATGTACTCCCTTATCCGCTCAAACCTTGTSAGATGTACTCCCTTATCCGCTCAAACCTTGTGAGAGTTAAGAGGAATCAGGTCACCAACTAGTCTATGCATCAAGCAATTTATATAATCTGCTTGCCAAGTCATCAATGCATCAAGCGATTTATGAAGTCCGGCCATCAAGGAAGCTACCTAATCCGACCAGAACCTAAATGATTTACAATCTAAATCGGTCACAACCTGTGAAATATCCGGTCACCAAAAGGACTTGCCAAGCGATATATAGTCTTGATTGCTTAACCCTTGCTCGATGAACTATATTATCCTCCTATGACTTGTCTGAAATAGAAATATCCGGTCAATTGCTTGTATGATCAAGACAAAATCCGGATAAATGCTTCAATAGTCAAGCGATTTAAACAAGACCCAATCAAGATAACATTCAAAATTCGATCAAAAACAACAAACAAACACAGAAACTACAAAAAATCCATACAAAAATGGAGAAAAATTTACCTTTTTGATGAATTTTAACAAGAACACGAAGAACTTTAAAATTTCAAAAAAAATAACAAATCTCTGAAAAGGATGTTAAAATCTGAAAAATTTATGAATAACAAACATTCATATAACAAATACGCACACGATGATCAAAATTTTAACACCTAAACAGAAGAATTAGAAAGATTTTTGGATCAAAATCAATAAAATGATAAGAAAATGAAGAACAAGTATGAAGAACACCCAAAAAAATCCAGAAAACTTTCTTTCCAATATCTTCAAAATCCTGATTTCTTTCAACGATTTCTTTGCATTAACCTGCTCTAATACCAATTCTTGTTCCCTAATGATCAATCTTCAAGATAATCTTCATGATTTCCATGACATGTCTAGATATTGCATTAAGAACACTTTGAGAGAGTAGAAAGAAAAAGTCAAATATTCTAATCTTGGTCAAACTCTTATTAGGTAAAATGAATATACAATTGAATTCCCACTCTACTTTGAAAATTGTCCTATTAACAAAGGTCCTATGAAAAGATGGGTTTATAAGAAACTTTTTAAAACTGTTCCATAAAAATAAATTTTTTAGAGGTCCTAAAAAGCATGTTATGACACCCAAAAAGTCATAAAAACTTATTGCAACATTTTTCAATATGACGCTTTAGGTTTGGTCTTATAAACTTAAGTTATATAAAACACTCTAATAAACACTTTAGACGTCCTATAAACTCGTTTTTCTTGTAGTGGTTTTTGTAGCTTTTAACATGTATATTACATAAATTAAGAACTAAATCAAAAGACATTGCATTATGGTTGTAAATTAGGTACTTAAATGTTTAAGATAACACATAAAACACAAATATCGAGATTTTAAAAATATGTTATTTAAAAGAGATGAAAGTTTGTTATATAAAACATGTATTTTGTTAACAAAAACGTGAATACTTAAATCCAACGACAAATTAAAAATGTGATGACTTCTTACCATACCAAACTTTTATGATTAAAGTTATATTTTTATGAGTTAGGAATATTAAAAAATAAATAAATGTATCACATGCATCATCTACGGTGTGTTTATTAATTATTACATAATCATATACGTAAATATTAATTGACTTGAGCAAAACTGAATGAATAAATAAATGTGATTTACAGTATGTTCGTTGTTACGTAATTAAGAAAAATAATATACGTAAATGTTAATTTACGTGAACAAAACTGAATAATAAATGTATCACATCATTCATGGTATGTTTATTATTACGTAAGTAAGAAAAATCAGACATTGAAATGTTAATTTAGTTGAATAATATATGTATCACATCATTTACAATATGTTTATTATTATGTACGTAATAAAAATTATACACATAAATGTTAATTTACTTGAATAATACTCAACAAGCAAATGTATCATATTCATTTACAATATGTTTATTATTATGTATGTAAGAAAATTCAAATATGTATATGCAAATTTATTTGAGTAAAACTGAATAATTGTTGGTAATGTATGAAAATCTATCAAAGGGTTATTGGGTCAATGTTATTCAGATTACTGGTAAGCTCAATAGTTATAGCTCTAGAGGTCAAAGTTAGGAGTGTATGTGAGTTTTACTGTATATAAAATGTTATGTACTCATAAAATGTACCAACAATATATATAGTGAGTAAGTTAATCTAACAGAACCTTAACTCATGAATTTTTGACGACTTTATTTCGTCAAAATAATTTGCATAATCAACATATCTTATTTTATGTTAATTACAATAAAATTATTGGTTAACACACTACAGTAAAGCAGATTTGTCAGGACGTCCAACGTCATAATAAAAAAAAACTTTTAAATTTATGAAAGCAACAAGTATATGCCTTATATAAAAACATTATAATAATTTTTTTGCACCATGTTGATCAAGAAGTAAATAGGATGGTTGGACGTTATAAAGATCCATTTGATTAAAAACACAGAAAAATAACATTATCAGCAAAATCATTAGAATTTCATATCTTATTATATAAATACAAAACTTATATATATATATATATATATATATATATATAGACTTGGGATCATATGAGACCAAACCTTTTTAGTGAGACCCGTAAGACCAATTCTCAACCCTTGGATTAGATCTACAATCGTCATATTTGAACATTCACAAACGCCATGAGACTTCTCAATAATTACAAAATTGCCACCGTGCAATTTAGGCCATTAGATCTTTAACTTATAAAGTTGATCAATGAACATAAATTGGTCTTACGGGTCTCACAAAAAACTCTTGATCTCACATGAACCCAACCCTATATATATATATATATATAGAGAGAGAGAGAGAGAGAAAATAAGGGGATTGAAAGAAGAGGTTGGGAGAAGTGTAAAAAGTAAAGGTGATTGGTAGGATGGCTTGTTCTACTAGAAAGTGAAAAAGGGGGAGTATTGAGAACAACAATGACATTGCACCAATGACCAAAAGTGTATGATTGACCTTCAAGGGAAATGCAACATGAGTAGAAATTAAAGTATTAAGTTAAAACCTCACTTCACCCATGTGTAAGCAACGTACCCCCCAACACCCTAACTCTTCTTAGCCTTCAATGAACCACTAGGTAAACATTATCTATCTGCTTTCTTCTCTCCACTCAAATGGGGTGGCTTCAATCCCTCTTCTCTCCCCTCAAGAAGCTTTGGGTTCGACTCCATTCAGCCCATCACAAGAGTACGTTACTACAACATCAACATCTTTATGCTGGTTTTTTTGTTGTCTTTATGTTCTTTCATTATCGATTTCAGCATTCTCTTTAGACGTGGAAACTATGAGCATTTTAGAACTCGAGATTACGTCCAAATGGATAATTAATTTAGTTAATCTTGACCATTCTTTTGTTTTGGTATGTATTTACTTACGTTAAACGATAGAGAAAACAATATTTTTCCCTTTTTCTTCTATCATCAATTTGAGCATTCTCTTTAGACTTGGAAAACCACCATTTATGAGTATTTTAGAACTCGATACACACTTAACATGTTAATTATTTTGATCGTTTAAACTTTGATCTCCTGTACCCATCCATGTACTTCTTGTGATTCGTTATAAGGACAAAAACCAGACATTAATTTGCGCAATCATATTTTTTACGAGAACCATATGTGGCATAACTTTTGTTGCATGTCAGTGTAACTCTCAACAGTTGGAGTTAAACTATTTACGTCTAAATTTATCATGAGAAAGTCTCAGTCATTCCAACAAATCTATTCCATAATTCCAAGCAATTTCTTTTACTAAATTAAATGATATTGGATGTGCAAATTTTCAGGTAGAGGAATATACATATTGTATGAAGATGTGAAGTCATGTCCCTATGAAGATGTGCATGTACTTTGGTCTATTTTGGTGGAATCAACACATGTTCCTCCTCATACCTTGGCCTTACCTCCAGTGACTTGAACTCCCGAGCTTCGATCGTGTTTTTGTACATAATTGGCCTCTTTTTTCGCTCGAATCTTGTATTTGTTTATGGGGTTTTTCGAAACTGTATTTCGAAGCTGTTTTAAGTTATTACACGACCCTAATTTCGCATACAAACTGTTGCATTTCACTAAACGAGTTCAAAGAGTCGATGCAATCAAAGTGGCATGTCGACCTCTAAAGTGTAGGAAAAAGGTGAAACTTTTATCGTTGGTATATTGACGTATGCTTGTATAGTTTGTTGTTGGTTTGTCGAATTTAAAAGCAGTTTTTAGGTCATTTTCTGATGTGCATTTGTGTATAAGAAAAAGGGTGGTGGTTGGGTTCAGTTTGATGAAAAAAATGGAAATATATAGACAAAAGTTCTCCAGGATTTTGATGGGTTTAATTTTGGATTAGGAAAATATTCCACGTAATTAAAAATACATGGGTACTCTCTCTCTCTATATATATATCTCTCTATATGTATATATATATATATGAATGACCGTATGAGAAGTAGGGTTAAGATAAAAAAATATAAGAAGGGATTTGGACGTTTCATCACCTTTAATCTGAAACTCATCCATGAATCGCGGTTGATATGAGGATTGATCTGTACATCTCATCTTGATGAATCTCATTTTAATATGCATCCAATAGTAGAGATCCATTCGTACGCTATATATATATATATATATATATATATATATATATATAATATAAGGAATGGTTCAAACGAGAACACCTTCATTTTACGAGAATGCAATAACACCCTTTTACTATAGACAATCACATGTGATACTATTATTCTATCACATATGATACACATGTGATACTAAATCAGAGACGAGAGCAATTTTCGACACGATTGGTTGCAGGCCAAGTTGCCCTTACACCACTAAACCCCCTCACTTGTATTATCACATGTGATAAGGGTGTTGTTGATATGATAATATAATCTATCAAGGCCATCACATGTGATGCTAAATCATAGACGCAGACAACATTTGGCGCAATCTAAGTCGTAAAACACGTCTTCCGCATACCACCAGGTCCCGTCACGTGTATTATCATATGCGATAAGGGTATTCTCGCGTTTCCGTAAAATGGAAGTGTTCTTGTTTGAACCTCCACACACACACACACACACACACACACACACACACACATATATATATATATATATATATATATATGGGTCCATTCAAATAAGAACTGGTTTGTTTGTGATAACTGTGAGATCCAATCTTAACCACAAATCCATGGATAAATTAGAAAAATAATATTTTTGGTAATTTAACTTAAATTTTTTAATTAAAGGGCATTTTAGGTATTAAGTTTTTTTTTTTATCTCTCCTATGTCTCTCTCTCTCTCATGCTTTTGGCCTCGAGTAAACCTTATTTCAGCGAACATCATGTGATACCCAAAATATACAATGTTATACACAAAATACATATAATGTGATATCCAAAACACACCAAGTAATCTTTGAGACCACTATAATACCAACTGTGGTACCATTGTGATACCAACTGTAGTACCACTTTGATACCTACGTTGTATAGATGTGTGTGTGTGTGTGTGCATGTGTGTGTAGAGGGGGAGTTATTCAAGGGAGAACTAGATACTACTGTGATATACACCATAAGCAATGTGATACCGAAAATAAAGTAATTAATCTAATTAAGTAAATTGGAATATTAAACTAATTAAAGTAAATTGAATAATCAACCTAAATTACTGATTTACCCATCTATTTTATTTTGAAGAAAAATATTAATTATCTTAAATAATTGGCTCACGTTGGATCTCACAATTACCACAAACTTTAATTCTCATTTGATTAAGCCTCTATGACCAATTTATGTTTATTGATCAACTTTATAAGCTAATGATCTAATGGTCTAAAGTTGCACGGTGACAATTTTATGATTATTGAGAAGTCTCGTGACAATTTTGTGATTATGAATGTTTAGATAGCATATCTAATCAAGAGTTGAGAATTGGTCTTACGGGTCTCACGAAAGACCCTTGGTCTCACATGATCCCAAATATATATATATATATATATATATATATATATATATATATATAAACATATTTATTTATTTTTAATTTTAATTAAATTAATAAATTTTTATTAAGTTTTATATAAAAAATTAGATATATTTTTGATAAAATAATTTTACAATTTTTATCAAATATCACATCCAATATCTACGAGCAGTTCATATGTGGTAATTGTATATATTTTTGTTAATCATATATGATTATTATATTTACATTTATAAATATTTTTGTGATGTAAATATTATCACATGTGATAACACATCACTTGTATTCAAATGTGTATTATCATACGTGATATATACACAAATTCACTTAGTGGATAATATGTTATATTTAATAGATCATATGTGATATTAATAAAGCATATGTTGAATGAACCTGATCACATGTAATTCAAAACCTAGATCTAAATATGGATAAAATGGTGAAAAAGATAATTAATTAATTGTAGATATCGCATATGATATTTGATGAAATTTTGAATTTTTTTCCTCAAAGTATATCTAGAAAAAAAAGTTATAAAACTTGATAAAATAATTATGAATTTATTAAATTAAAAATAAATAATTCTAAAAGATATAATTTGATTTTTAAAGATTTATCCAATTGAAAATGATAATTATCCAAATTTTTAAAATTATTTTTTATTTCTTATTTATGTTATTTTTTAATGAATGGATGATGTGACTTATATTCCTTCTTACCTTCTTGCAAATTAGTTAGTTTCTCTCATTATCTTTTCTCTCTCTCTGTCTCTCTATCACTACTAGAGAACTGAGTATTTTCGACGGATAAATCTGTCAGAAAACTATTGGCGGATCATCGTCAGACAACAAAAAAGTCAATTTATTTTGACTTCCACCGGCCGCCGAAAAACAACCGGTAAAATTATTCTGATAATATTTTCGGCTGATTTCCGGTGGATTTCGTAATTAATTATTTTAGACTTATATTTAAATCTAATTACAATAACTTACCGACATATTTTCGACGGATAATTAATTAATCTATACTATCTTATAAACCAGATTTCATAAAAGTCTTAAAAACAACTTTAAATACATAAGGTACAACCTTTTGATGCGTAAAGTCTTAAAGTCTTAAAAACAAATTCTATTACACAGGGTACAACGAGTTTATGCATAAGCCTATCCTAATAAATCCCTAAGCCTTGAAAACAAATCCCTAAGCCGCTCCCAAGAAATCGGTTCATTCTCCCACTCGATTCCTTCTCCTAAAGGCAACGATTCCTTCTCCCACAACAGCGATTCACGTTCTTGAAACCATCACCATTTATCAAGGTTAATTCTTCATTGATATCAATCTCTACTTCTCTTCTAGAATCATATGATTACAACGTTTTTACCTCTCCAGGAAGAACTTTTGAGCAATTTTTCGACCAGTTTTCGATCAATGAGATTATCATCAATAGCTAGAACATGAGGTACGTCTTCTTCATAATACCATTGAGTAACGATGATGAAAATGAATTTTGTTATTGCTCGATTAAAATGCTTTTTAAGAAGATCAGATTGGAATTAGAATGATGCGATGTCACATGAGCACCATATATACGTATATATCTATCGCTCCATCTCAGATAACATTTTTTAATCGACTTCAAACTCTCAATTTTAACTGCTGGTAATTAGATAAATGTGATTGATTCCTCTTTCATGGCTTTTGGTGCTAGATTCGCTTTGTTCGTGGGCCTTCTTATTCTGTGGTACGGATCGGTCGGTGTTGGGTGGGAACCTATTCAACGGAATCATTCCTACTCTTCAGGTGAACCTCCATGACTACAAAGGTTTTGGTGAGTCCTATATTTGAACCCAATAAAGACAGACATTCTTTAGGATTTGATCGTTTGGTTTATATTAAACCCAATATATATATATATATATATTTGCATTTGAAAACATCTTGATCCTTTAGACTATGAATGATGCTGAAATTATTTGATAAGTATCTTGTTACAATGGGTTTGTTCTACTTGAATCTTTTGGTTTTCTCACCAACAAATTACTTTTATGTTTCTTAGACAAGTAATATGTTTTTAAAAGGGTGCTTTTGCGGACTGTAAGGAAGACTGGTTGAGACCCAAAAAACTGAGATGTAAAGACATCAACCTTTTATGATCCAACTTATATGCATGTACCTCTAAGCCATTTACATAATCCAGCTTATACCCATGTACCTCTTAGCATTAAAAGTCGTTAGTACAAGGTGTACTATAATAAGTTCAGATTTTTAGTATTCAATTTATTAGCATTTTAAAGTTCTAGTTAGAAATCTTCAAAAATTCAAAGAACGTATGCTGGTTATGTTCTTATGAGAAACTCTTATCAATGGTTGCTGGTCCTCCACTGTTTCCTGGATTTATGGCTGCATCAATCTGCATTGCCAAGAGCTGAGTAGCTCCATGTACATATTGTGTAGGTTCAACTCTTGAGACTACCCCTTCTTGTGACAGAAATGTTGTCACCACCTAAAAACAACTTTTGGGGTTAAGTACTTCAGTTATTTTATTATAAAATTGTTGATCCTCTCTCTCAGTGATTTGATGATAATCCCTTTTCACTTATACAAAGTATTTATGTTTCTGTCTTTTCAGTTCCAGCGATCTTCATTGAGTCTGTTCAGTGATCGCTGAAGAACTTGTATTGTAATTCAATCAGCGACAACGATACTTCAAGAATACAACACTCACACCAAAGAACCTTCAGCCAATATCGAAGACTGAAACTGAAGATTAGAGACTGGCGAGTACGTGATCTGAAGCGGTACAAGCCTGTCTACATATGTCTGAAGACTGCCCTAACCTTAGCTATTGCTGAAGAGACCCTCAGGTTATTCCAGCATCCAGTGATCAAAT